AGTGCTGTTACAAACGAATATGTCGGTGGATTTTGACGTGAGAGGACAACAGGGGATGGACTTTTAGCGGATCTGTCAGCGGATGCCTAATACATCTGCTCATAGACTGATCCGCTGATAGACGCGGCTCTCAAACGCTCTCGTGTGCTTCTGTGTGAACAGCGTGAAGCGATGATCATTGTAGCCAATCACAGACATAGCCTATCTGTTGAGCACGTGAACACAGCGGCCAATCAACGTTGTTTAAGAATCCGCTCAGCAGCGCTCAAATTCTAGCAGGAAATGCTGGTATCGTATCGTCTCATTTTTAAGATTTCAGTACCGACTGGTACCGAAGTCGGTACTTTTTGACAACCCTAGGAGGAAGCATTATCATGGATTATTGACTCAAATTTTGACCAGAAGTGACCGTTTAAAGTCAAACAAGACATTAATTGATTACTTGTGGATTACCGAGATGTTTTTATCAGCTGTTTGGACTCTCATTCTGACAGCACCCATTCACTGCAGAGGATCCATTGGTGAGCAAGTGATGTAATGCTAAATTTCTTCAAATCTGTTCCAAAGGAAAAACAAACTCATCTACATATTGGATGGCCTGAAGGGGAGTACATTTTCAGCAAATGTACATTTTTGGCTGAACTTTAAGCCTCTCCAGCACAATTCAAAATCCACATACTTACTGGCATGGAAGATATGGATCGTCATGAAAATAAAACAGCAAATATACATTGTGTTTAATTCTTTGTATGCGTATTTGAGAAATTTAGTTTGGATCACACAGACAGACAGAAACAGCAGGAAAAAAAAGAACAAAACCATCAGGACACACGACACAAGTGCTAACAGATTACTGATAGTCTGATCAGACCTGTGGGAGACATAATAAATGAAGTCATTCAGCGATACTTAAGCAAAGACTTGCATCAAAAAACACCTGCTTGAAATAATCACACATTAAGTGTTTGCATTAATCCTATTAAGTATTTACATTATCCCATTACGTCATAAGATGCTTTGCATTCCACTTTTACTTTCTTTGAGTGTATCCACGTAGGTTTAAAGTCACGTCATAACCATTAACATACCTCACAATTACGTGAGTCTCAGGCACAGAACACACCTGCTTTAAATGACAGCCATGTGAACTGGGGCAAACCCAAGGCAAATAGACAGGTCTTACACGTCGCTTTCTCTCTCTGTTCTGAACCATAATAGGAAGTCAAACTAAAAGGCAAATAATAGGCTCTGTATTTGAATAAAGAGCAGCCCTCATTTCCACTGAAGAGCAAACACTGAAAAAAAATGTTCTTAAAAAAAGAATATATATCATAATATCTTATCATAATACGTTTATGCATTATTATATTGAACATTGGATTTTTCATACAGTTGTTACATATTTCTATCATAATTTACTCACTCTTATACACTGCAAAGCTGTAAGCTTTGAAAAATAATAATGGAATAAAAAATAAAAAGGTAATTCTTTTCCTAACCACTCTGACTCTTTGTATTCTCGCAATTGAGTTTATGGGCCCTATTTTAACGATCTAAGCGCATGGTCTAAAGCGCACGGCGCAGGTGCACTTAGGGTGTGTCCAAATCCACTTTTGCTTAACGACGGGAAAAACGGTCGGCGCATTCTTAATGAGTAATGGGTGTGTTTTGGGCATAACGTGCAATAAACCAATCAGAGTCTCATCTCCCATTACCATTAAGAGCCAGTTGCGCTCCTGCCATGGCGGATTTGCTATTTACACGGCGGAATTTGCAAGCGCAAACACAGAACGCGTCTCCAGAGAGGAAATGGAGCTGCTCGTGCACGAGCAAATGGTAGCCTAATTCTGATACATGCAATGACTATCCATTATGACATGTAGGCATTTTTATATTTATGTAGCCTAAACAATAATAATCTTTTACATTGCAATGCTTTCATTTTTAATATTTGGCATGTTTGTTTGCCAAATATTGTGTGCCGCGTCCCTGTGTGTGTAATAAGCAGAGTGTACACGCGCTGTGGACCCGCCTATACTAACGCGCTCTTTAAATAACAAAAAAACTACTGCGCCATTGACTTTAGACCAGGTTTTTGTTGGTCAATGGCGTGGTCTATTTCAGGTGCCTCAAAATAGCAACGCGCCAGCAATGCGCCTGAACACACCTCGTTTTCAGACCAGCACACCCATGGGGGCGCACAAATGGGTGCAAAATGCATTTGCGATTTAAACAACGTGGCGCAGGACGTGAAAATGACAACTGCGTCGGGCTGAAACTAGCAAAAAACACTTGCGTCGCACCTGGCGCCGTATTGCGCCAGGTGTATAATAGGGTCCTATATCTCACAATTCTAATTTTTTTTCAGAATTTTTTTTTTAAGAATTGCAAGATATAAACTCAGAATTGTCAGATAAAAAGTTGCAATTACCGTTTAGATTTTTTTTTATTCGGTAGTGGAAACAAGCTTCCACACGAAGCCATTTAAAAATTATTTTGAAGACCTTTTCTTTGCAAAAGGCCATAATATGCTTTTGGTTTTAATTTGATTGACTGTGTATCTCCAGTGTTTATAGCTATTTTAGATACTAAACTGCATAAACCAGATCTACCAAAGGAAAAGAACATGGTGTTCTCTCTCTCTCTCTCTCTCGCTCTCTCTCTCACACACACACACACACACACACATATTATTCTTATAGGTTATGGAAAGTAAACACTGTACATAATTACACACCATTAGCCAAACCGTGGGTGTCACTCATGCCTCTCAGTTAGTGACTAGTAAAGTTTTGTTATACTGGGCTGGGATGGGGGGAAAGGAATGTAAAAACATCATTATTTGTAATACAGTTAGACTGGTTGTGTGAGATTGTGCTGGACCGTTTTACTCTGTTAGTCCCATTTACTTGCTTGGAATGATAAACTATGATTTGTCAGAAGAACACATCTGAGGAAAATATCATGAACTGACCCAAGAAAAATTAAAAGGATCATCTGATGAAGTTAATAACCAGTTGCTCCTGATATTAATAATTGTTCTGCAGCTGTTATAAGTAAAACTATAATGACTTAAAAGGGATCATGGGACACATATTTTTATCTCAGCCTAATTATGATAGTATGAATGATCCTAGCTGAAGAAAAAAAGGAAAGGAAAAGGAAGAAAAGAAAAAAAAGTAATTCTACATTAAGTTAAACTCACTCTCATCAATGCTGGCATTTTTAAAATCACATGACCATGATGGGTCTTGTAATTCAAGTAATAATAGTAAAAACAACAGCAGTGATAATTAAAATAAAACAACATGTTATTTTATACTGAACTATTTGTGTTCTTGAGGGGGCTTTTCAAAGCATTCAAATGCAAAACAAGTGGTCATGGTCAAGTCATGTGTGTGATCCACTAGTCCAAACAGAATGAGTATGAGTGGAAAAATAAAAAGTCCAAACAAGCAGACCCTGATGGAGCAATGAATCAAACTGGCCTGACAATATGCAGCACCAATGCCAAACAACAAGGACAAACGGCAGAACCTCGAACACAAAGGGCCACAGCTGCCAAACCGCAAAATGCCCCTATGACCAAACCCAAAGCAAAAATACAGCTCTTACACTTCCCATTCTCTCTCTCTCAAAGGCCAGAACAGAAAGTCGACTGGACATATCAGCAAGCTGGTCTAATATGCAAATCAAGTGAAACTCACACACCTTCTGTTTTTGAATATGAGCAGCAGCCCTCTCATTTCCAAAGAGCTAAAGAAAAATGAAGCTCAAGAAACTCCTAAATTGAAACTGTATAGCCTAACAATTAAAAAAAAAAAACTGCAAGAATATGAACACCTTAGCAACCTTAGACAAATTGATAGGATTTACTACACTGCTGAAGTCCTCATGACAGCTCTAACCAGGCTAGACAGATGCCTCCAAAGCAGTCCAGTAGACCCGTGTAGTTTGTTCTTGGAAGGAGATCAAAGAACACCATACAACACAATATAAATATGACAAGAGAGCACTGGGAAATGGGAATAATGCAACTGCATTACAGAAACAAAGTATACATTTATCTGCTGTAGCTGTATTGATGGCTGATGGAGTCAATCGTGTTCAGACAAATTCATAATACATTCATGACTGCAATTTCAACATAAATAGTTCCTAAATAAAGTATATTCAATCACAGAGGAAAACAATCTAAAAATGTGTGAAAAGAACATGAAAGTCCATGGGGGAAAATGTATATATATATATATATATTTATTTTTTTTTCTTCCACTGATTCTTTACACATGGGACAAACCATTTCATGACTTTCCCTGCCATTAGATTATTCATCAAAATAAATCTTATCAAAATTGTCATTTACTTAATCACAACTACTATGTCACCGATATTGAAAATAATTTTTATGTTTTTAGATTTTATTTTATAAGGTCCAGAAAAGCAATAATATTAGTATTTGTGAATTCAATAAAAAATAAGTTTGGAACCCTCCTGTTGTGTTCATTCATTCATCCATTGAATTGAGTAATTTTTAAATATTTACAATCCATATTTGGTGAATTCTTTCTGACCCTATTCATGCTGACTATACTGAGTGGGAAAAACTTTTTTTTTTTTTTTTTCAAAATAAGTAAAAGTAAAACAAACAAATAAATAAGGAGACTGCACCCAAACATAACTTTGAACTTGTGGAACAGCTTAATTAAAAACAACTCCTTTATATTTACCTCCTCAGTTTTTACTAAACACGATCACTCGTTTTATGAAGTGAATAATTATTATATAATGTTCATAGGAACTCCCAGGAGACGAAGCGTACTTTTGCTTGCCCAATATTGTTTTACAAGGGCGGAGAACTGAAACCAGTCCATGCAAAAGAAACCAAAACATACTATGATTAACTGTTTGGGAACTTATCACTTTAGAGTCATAATGGACTATTTTTTATGACACAACTCGAACAAACGTCTTTCCCCATAGAACAAAATGACACTCACTCGGTCTTTTTGCGTGATCTGTTGGCGTGGAGGTCCACTAAGTTGATGACAGCCTGTCCCAAAAACTTGTCCAGCCCCACCAGGGCTCGGTGCATGGCGATGATGTAGAGCGTGCACCGCTCCGCGTCCCCCTGATAGTTCGGCGGCAGATCGAAGGTCGCCTCCTCCTTCCATTCGGGAGAGACGCATTTCTCCGCGACCGACGTGGAAAACTTGTCCTTGCCCACCTGCATGATGGCATAGGAGTCGTTCGTGCCATTTTTGCCCTTGATCCGCAGGTTTCGCGCTTTGAGCACCGTTACCTGAACGCTAGTGGGATACCACTGCTGGTCACCCAAAGACATTCTCAGTTAAAGCAACCGGGATAAAAAGTTCGTTCGTTGTAGCCCGCTTGATGTTTGCCGTGCGCCGCTCTGGCTCCTGAGTGTAACTGTTTGGGAGATATCATAAGCCCCGCCCCTCACGCATGACGTACACTGTGTACCCTGCGCTCAGGTGTTGCAGGTATCTCTTCATTCTTGCGTTGCACTATTTAGAGCAGCGCTTTTGATAGTACACTTATAACCCTGTGATAACGTCTTTTTAAATACCGGGTTAAGGCCACCAATGCGTTCTCGCCGCTTTTAACCTGTGGTCATAATTTAAGCCCGAATTAACATGCTAAAGGTGTACAGTAATCGACGTGGTTGCTAAAATGTATCAGCGAGTTGTTTAGCAACAGACTACCAATCAGAAACTGACTCAGCGATTACCTTGTTAAATATTCATGCATTTGTAGTCACAGTTCAGTTTACCTTGGTGGAGATTTTAAAAACTATTCTCAGAATATCTTTGTTGAAGAATTTCCTCATTAGCGTTTCCCCAATTTACTTCCTCAGACTTTATTAAGGTCAAGTGAATCACTGTAGAGCTCAGATAACAGGCCATTCAGCAGTGCCAAAATAGAAAACGGCAGTATGAGTAACTGTTAGTAGTTTTGAAGCCGATTAGTCATCTTTCAGATTGACTCGGTCTCCTGCTATCTGTAAATCACTGTATTCGTATATTTGGTTATAAAACGCCTCCACTTCGCTTCCGAGCCGAGGTCAATGTATCAGCAGCTTACAAGCGTGATGTTCATTCCTTTGTTCTCAGTGAGCGTTGCAGTGTTTGTCCCGCCCACTCTCTAGAGGCCGCTCTCTGATAGGATAATGCATATGTCAATAATACAAGGCTCATTTTTGATTGGCTTTATTTCCTGTGGAGGATGTAGATTTACATATTACATAGAAACAGAAGTTACGTAATTGGCTAATGCAAAACGTGGGCTGGGGTTGTTCCTCATTAAATCACATCTAGGACACATAAAAATATGAGTGAAGTAACTTTGATTTTATGGCATTTTTCCAAGCCTTTATTTTTTGAATCAGGTCATTGATAAGGCACAATCTTAACATCTATAGGAAATATATTACTGAAATCGATACAAAAATGTTGCTATCATTTTCATATTGAAGTGAGTGACAAAAAAATATAAATATTCATGTTATTATTGAAATCTCCCTTTTAAACTTCGAGATGACAATCAAAACATTATTTAGGATAACACTGAATTTATACTGACCCTCAGAAGCTCTAGGCCTACCCAGAGGCAAAGAAATTGTTCATGCAAATATCGCAATGTCACATGAAACCATTATGCACAAATAAGCCATTTAAAATGTCAATCTTTTTTAAAGGAGAAAAAAAAAGTATTACATAAACATGGCAAACTTTGAGCAGGCCACAAATTCCATGTATTATTGTAATACATTCTTTGTTGTTATAGTTTCAAATGGCACTTTGCACCAAAAACTAATTTAAAAAAACTATTATAAGCCTTCATAACTGATAGTTTAACTTACATTAATCACAAAATTATCACACTGGTCATCATGACGTTAAATGCTTTTTGATTTGGGAAAAGGGAGAACTGGTTCTTTAGCAATATGTGGTCTTTGAATGTTTAACCATTTTAAGGGAGATTTCTGGCTTGAAGTTGAAGGGGTAAAAGACAAATGGGATGCTACACAATATCAAATAAGCTCGAGCTTCTTTGGCATACAAATATCCCTGAACACACTTAAAATAATTTTATTTTAATCCAAGTGCAGCTAAAGCTAAAGACAGGCAACACTTGTGACTTCATCATGATGTGATCTAAAAAATAACGGCACTACAATCAGTATCTGATTTAGCTTGTGGGCCTTGGAAAAAACAGTCAGTGCAAAGATCTGAATTCCCCTTTTGCTTTTGGTTAGGATTGTCCATTCTTTGCTTTCGTGAGAAAGGACATTTTGACACTCTTGAAAAATTAAAGACCAATCACCAATTCCTTGTTCCTAAGAACTTTGCATAAGCTTAAGAAGGAGTACTAACAATTCCAGGTTGATTAGTAGTTCTTCTTGCTAACCATTTGTGGAATGAACAGTGCTTTGTAATAAACAAAACTTGCTCTATGTATGGTAATAATCTGAAGAAAAAAGCGTGAGAGATCTAGCTTTGATTGCTAGTGTGCTTTTAGACTAAAACAGAGTGTTTATAAAACTGATTAGGCCAATCCTCTGTAAAATACTGATATCATAAAATTGCATAATGACAATTACAATTACATCAATATTAATACTGATATGTATAATATAAATACATTATTATTATTTATAAGAATATGCCAAATGCTCTCTTCATAACCTGAACCAAGTGCTAAAAAAGCCCATGTTACACATGGTGCTACAACAGAACATGTATGGACAAACACTTGCCCTTCATTATCAAACCCCTTAGTAAATCTGGAGTGACATCCGAAGCAGCTGTCACTTTGTTGATATCATTTGTCCATCAACAGCATTCATTATCAGTGCATTTGATCAATGGCAGGAATGGCCCAATAGAGGGCACTGTTAAGCAACATTTTCCAAATGGTTCCTATTCACTAAAAACTGCATGCAATAGTTTACTTTCTGCTGAACGACATCAGAAGAATAAGAACTACATTCCCAGCACCAGTTAACATTGGATGGAAATGTTGGGGATGGATGGATCAATGGCAAGTCTTTGTTTTCTATATTTGTGTGGGACTGATGTCAAAAGCTGCTTATTAGTGCCAGAGAGTCGAATTAACACTGTAATGGTCAAACAATACATACATAACACAATGTACATTCTTACAGACATGTAAATGAAATAGTGTAAATAAAAACATATGAACACACAAGAGACAAGGACACAAAGGGACTGAACAAGAAAACTTAGGTAACAAGCAGACACTCCTCCATCCTGATCAATATGCATAGTCAGAAACAAAGATCAATACAGCTAAATGGCTAAACTTTAGGTTCAGATCCCTTGGCGTATTCAATATTAAAAGATTCATTACGTTCAAACAGTTTTTTAGGTTAAGTGGTATTACAGGAAAACAAAATCAATCAAAATGATTTTGCATATTTTGTCAAACCAACTCCTCCACCATTGTCTTTAAACGAGTCAGGTTTTGCATATACACCCCTCATTTTTTTTCCATATAATACAGCCTCACACAACTTCTCTTTATTAGCATGCTTAGCATTAGCTCTTAGCATGTTGGACGGTTCAAACACCTTCAAAACTTACAAGTATAGGTGGTTCATCATAAAATAAGCCATATGTTTCTCTTCCCTGCTGAAAACCCCCCCTGATTGAACCAGCCTAAGCTCCAGTGTTGTAATACTTGAAACTGGAAGAAACAGGACTCTGAAATCTGTCTCGTGTCTTAGTTCGAGTCAAGACAGTGACCTGAAGAGGATCTTGAATGAAGCAAGGTTTCACAAGTGTCGCGTGAAACTTGTGCTCCAGCGGCAGAGCAGATATGCGCGAGACTTTGTGCACAGACTACAAAATGTATCAGCAGGATTAGCAACTCATGTAGTACTTGAGACCGGAATCCGAAGAAAGACCATAAAAAATAATAAGGCAGTCTTCCAGTCTTAAGTTCTACAACACTGCTAGACTGGTTTCCTGGTCTTAGCTGGTTTAGCTGGTCTCCCAGCCAAGCCAAGTTGATGTTTAGCTTGGCTGAAAAGTGTCCAAAACCAGCCCACAGACCAAATAAGCCCTCAAACCATCTTAGACTGGTTTAAACTAGTTTTTCAGCAGGGTTGTGGAGAAAGAAATCCATGCTTTGGCTCCTGGCATACAGGTCACACCTTCAAGAAACCTTCAAATTCTTTCAACTATTATACAGTCGTCTCGCTCTTCCATACCCTGCTCTTCATACCAACCGAACCCTGTGATTGGTCAGTTCCGCTAGTGTCTAATTCCACCACGGATCCCTTTAGTGTTCCATTTGGTGCTGAAACTGTCATCAACGAGTCTGTCGCAGTGACATCTGATGCCACATTTAGAGGGAACGAGCTCTGCTTGGACTCTCTCTCAGCCGCGACGGACAGTTTAAGATTGTCTTTGCTAGCGCTGGGCCGTTGAGTGTTCTGCTGCATGGCGGACCTGCTTGCCAACGAAGGCAACAGGGGAAAAGGTTTTCTACTTCCACTGCTACCTCCATCGCTACCTTCCGAAGGGCTTGTCGCTAATCCCTCCCCTCTGTGCCGCCCATTGGTCAGAAGGCCGTTCTGACCCTCTGAATGGCTATTCCGTAGACTTCCATTCTCACTGGAAGCGTGTTTGTGTAGCTGGTGGATGTTTGATTGCTCTGTCCCAGAAGGTCCCAAAGCGCCCATGCTACCTCCTCCACCTGCTCTGAGAGCTTTAAGGCGGTAGTGCCCTCTCCCGTCCCCTCGGTGATGGTATTGGGTATTGCCACCCCTTGTTCTACTGCAAGCCTTCCTTCTTTGAGGCTGCTGGATGGGCAGTAGACTGGGTAGCAGATTGTTGGCCGGCTTGTTGTTCTCCGTGCTCGTGCTTGTGTTGGTATTAGTTCCCGTTGGCGCTCGGGCAGCGTTATTCACGTTGTCCTGTGTCACTTGAAGGAGGTTGGTGAGTTTGCAAGGCCCGGCGGCAATGCTCGTCGTCCCACTTTGAGTAGAAGACGACCTGGCAGAAGAAGAGAAATTGTTGGTGTCCGTCGGCGGATGGCATCCTACAAAAAGTTGGGAGCCCCTTTCCGAGGCACTCTGGACGCCTACGGTGGCAGTGCAAGGGTGGGAATAAGCTGGCATGGGTTGGGAGCGACGGTACCTGGGGCAACAACTTAGCCACGCTGCCTGGACATCCAAACGCTTGAAACAGTGATGGAGCACCAAGAAGATTCCTAATCCGGTAGCCGTTCCTCCATACAGGCAGCTGAAGAGTTTCCGCTCTCTATCCACATGCCAAACAGCCATAGCGCCGCAGCACCACAGCCCCACAAACACAAACTGCGTTGCCACCAGCGCCAAACACTGGACCTTCAATGAGTACTGGTCCTCCACCGTCGTCCCAGCATGCACCGGGCCCACCACAGAGTCCGTCGAGACCAGGCTGGTGCTGCCGCTGATTGCCGGTTGGCTCTCAGGCAAGGTTGAGGGTTCAGAGGCGGAACAAGGAGGATCTTTGGACTCCTGGAAGTTTCGGCACCTCAGGCAGAAAGCAGTGCACAGGAAGTAGATCCAGGTCACAAGAATGATCAATCCAGCTGGAATGTAGAAAGCTCCGAAACTGGGTTGCCATACCAACCAGCAGCTGCCGAAAGGTCAAGAGCAGTGAAAAAGGTCAGAGAGGGCAAAGGCGGTAATTAGTCAAATAACAGAAACACAAAGCAAGCTCTGTACAAAACGGACACTTTTTAAAGAGCCTGTAAGGGAGCGGCCCAGCATGTGTAATAAATCTGCAACAAGTATCAGACAGTTAGTGAAAGAACAGAAGCTAATAAAAAGCTCAAAGTATGAGCTCAGACAATTTTATTTTATATTAAGTGTCGCCAGTCTATCTGTAAGACTGTAATGTGACAAAAACACCATAAAATTTCTAACAACAATATCATTGTGAAAGGCCTAATTACTGTATGATTTGCAGTACTGTCTCATAAATAACAAACACTGAAATTAAATCTCTTTGGGGGATTTGGGTTAATCTTTTCAACATGTTTCTCATGAAATGCATGTTTTGCTTATCACTCATTATGTTTTAACAAGTCAGAATGCATATCAACATATGTACTAACATATGCAATAGCAAATATTTATAAAAAAGTATCTATCATATGGTTGTGACAGAAAATAAATTATGTGTGTGTGTGTATGTGTGTGTATACTACCTTTTAAAAGTTTGGGATCAGTAAGATTTTAATGTTTTTTAACGAAGTTTCTTATACTCATCAAGGCTGTATTTATTTGATAAAAAATACAGAAAAACAACTGTAATTCTGTGAAATATTATTGCAATTTAAAATAACAGTTTCAATTTTAATATACTTCAAAATATAATTTATTCCTGTGAAGCAAAGCTGAATTTTCAGCATCATTACTCCAGTCTTCAGTGTCATATGATCCTTCAGAGATCATTCTAATATGCAGATTTTTTTTTAATCAATTTTGGAAACAGTTGTACTGCTTCATATTTTTGGGAACCATGTGATACTTTTTTCAGGATTCTTTTATAAATAAAAAATGATAAAACAGCATTTATTCAAAATAGAAATCTTGTGTTACAATATACACTACTGTTCAAAAGTTTGGGGTCAGTAATTTTGTTTTCTTTTTCTTTTTTTGTGAAAGTACTTTTATTCAGCAAGGATGTGTTAAATGGATAAAAAGTGATAGTAAAGACTTATATTGTTAGAAATGATTTGTATTTTAAATAAATGCTGTTCTTTTTAACTTTTTATTCATCAAAGAATCCTCAAAAAGTATCACAGGTTCCAAAAAAATATTAAGCAGCAGAACTGTTTTCAACATTGATTATAAATCAGTATATTAGAAGGATTTCTGAAGGATCATGTGACACTGAAGACTGGAATAATGATGCTGAAAATTCAGATTTGCATCACAGAAATAAAAGACATTTTAAAGCATGTTAAAACAGCAAACCAATATTAGAAATTGAAATTATATTTCAGAATAGTACAGTTTTTTCTGTATTTTTGATCAAATACAGCATTGATGGGCATAAGAGACTCCATTAAAAATAATAATGATTCCAAATATATATATATATATATATATACTGTTTGTGTGTATGTGTGTGTGTGTGATGCATGCATGTCTCTGAGACATGTGAAAGTTAGCCTTAACTAGTCCTATCCCTCGTTTGATTTATAACTTCTCTGTCCACTTTTATCTTTTTCCATTCCCCCCATTGGCTCTCGTTTTCCTCTGTCTGGCTCTCCATAACAGCAGATGGGAATCAGCTTTTATCTGGACAATGGAGGTCTTTGATTAGTAATTACATCATGGTGGTCCATTTAGTTTCTCTCAAAAGCCCATTTTGCTCCTGTACATGCCTATCAATAGTTTCTACTCAAGAAGTGCTACTTCAATATGACATCTGCCCATAAAACTGTCAATGTTTCAGACCGATTTGAGATATGACAGCTGCTCTGAATACTGCAAAAGTTTTGATGGAACCCATACGCTTCCTTTTAAGATGATGACAAGAACCGTTTAATGTCGTCATCAAATGTGATGTTCACACCGTTACAGCTTATAGACTTTCAAACTGTATCGTTTCTTAAGAATGAACTCTGAATGTAAAAGAGATATTTGCATGACCTGTCTGTTATAAAACGCACATATTCAGATGCAAGGACAAGGGATTCTGTTGTGGGACGAAACCAGTTTCAAGATCCCATCCCCCACTGAATCATATCCGCCTTCCTCAAAGCCTGATCAAACTGTAGTGTGTTACAGTGATATCTAGCTAATTGAAAGAGCTTTTTAACCAATTAGCATTATGCTAAGCTAGTATGCTAAACTGTAACCTTGCTAATCGAAGGATAAGTGAAACTTCTGACTGCAGTGGTGTTTATTAAAAGTAGCTAATCCAGCCTAGAATTATCTCTTAGGTGTTTGGACAAAAACACTGACATTTCTCATTTGGACGGCAATAAAAAGGCCAACTTGTTTTACCTCATGTCCCTATGTAAAACAAATACAGTCCAAATAGGCCTATTGATTGGATTACAAAGAATTTTTGTTCTGTGAGGGTTTTATGGGCACTGGGGCCATATTATAGAGAAAAGACAGGTATCTAAGAGTTTAAGTGTGCTTGCAAAAGATACATTTCGAAAATAACCTGTTATTAATCATCTAACGCTTCCAGCCATCCATTATGACTTAACTGACCTGAGCATGGGCCGCTGGGTTGGTTGTACAGCAGACTCTCCTTCTAGTTGCTGTGGAGTCCTTAATAATGCTTCTTTATAGATGACTCTGGCACTGACTCCGATCCATAACAAAGTGGACAGAGAAGAGTAGTGAAGAACAATCCCCACCTGACACAAACATGTAAATACATGAGTAAAACAAGTAACACAAGTAGAGTAACAATACATTAGTGCATAGAAAAGAAAATATCAGATAATATTTTAATCTGTAGCTAATGTATTTTTTTAGTACAATGCTAAATAAAAGTTAGTTTATGGATTTTGTCTTTATTATTATTTTTCTTTACTGTTTTGCATTTATATTTTGTACATTAATGCATTGTTTGCTTGTGAAACGACCTTGAAAAGCTTGGAAAGGCACTTAAAGGGATAGTTCGCCAAAAATAAATAAATAAATCAAAAGAGAAAGAAAGAAAATTCTGTTTAAAATTCCTAATTAATTCATTTATTCACCCTCAAGTTGTTCTAAACCTTTATGACTAGCTTTCTTCTGTAAAACAAAAAATAAGATATTTTAAAGAATGTGGGTAACCAAACAGTTGATGGTAGTCATTGACTTCCATAGTATTTTTTTTCCATTCTATGCAAGTCAATGGCTACCAGCAACTGTTTGTTTGCGAACATTCTTCAAAATATATTTTTTGTGTTTAACAGAAGAAAGCAAGTCATACAGGTTTGAAACCAATTAAAGTAGAGTAAATAATAATAAAAAAATCATTTTTGTCATTTTCATTTTAATAAAATAAAACATTATTATTATGTAAGAGAAATGGGGACTTACTGCCTGGCATACAACTGGGTATCCTGTCAGAGTGATGCCTCCAGCAAATACTGCAGAAGTCATTGCGATGTGGAAACTAGTGTTCAGGAGAGTGTGCCAACTCTTCCTTGTGATTCTGATAGAGCTGATGGCAGAAAAAGAAAAGCCAATTTCATATGGATGTCCACTTCTAATTTAACATGTTTGGCTATTCAAAGTAATAACAAATCATGCAATGACAGAATTGTGTTACCTTGTAGCAACAGTTTGCAGGACTGTTTTCTTTTAGTTTTTGAGTTTTTGGGTGTATTGACATACATTTGGCAATGTAGTGTATGTTTTCAGTCTCAGAATTGTCACATTTTAACAAAGTGAGACAAATACCTGTGATGTAATATATAGGTGATGATGATGGTGAAGAGACAGAGGAGCAGCACTGCAGTACAGGTGTAGATCACTGGATGGAGCACTTCCACTGGAATCAAAGGTGAACCCGGGAAATCTGGCATCTCCTGAAACATTGCCAGGGAAAATGGAGAGAATCTTTTAAAAATGTCATACATATGACTTCATAGCCGAGCTATAACTCTAGGACACCTAAAAAAAGAATAGTGTAAGAAATGCCACTTTTTTTTCACAACTCTTGTTCTGTCCAGGCTGGACTATTGCAATGCTGGTGGAATGACCTGCCCAGCTCAATCCAAGCAGCTGAGTCCTTAACCATCTTCAAGAAACGACTAAAAACACATCTGTTCCATCTTTATTTGACCCTCTAACTCTAGCACTCTCTATTCTAATTCTATTCTTAAAAAAAAAAAAAACGTCCCTTTTACACTTGCATTCTATTCATTTACTTCTTGTTTTCTTATTAAAAAAAACTAACACTAGCTTTTCTAATCTTTTTGTATTTTATTTGTTTTCTTTTTATTTATTATACAATTAACAAAAGCAAAAAATACTTCTAACACTAGCTTGCTTTATTCTTTTTCTATTCTATCTGTTTTCTTTTTCTTTTTTTATGTTATATAATAAAAAAAAACACCTTGCTACGTGTACTGCGTTAAGCTAACTGAGACTTGTTATAACACTTGCATATCATTGCTCTTTTGTTGATTTTGATTGCTTACATTGTCTTCATTTGTAAGTTGCTTTGGATAAAAGCATTTGCTAAATGACTAAATTTAAAAGTAATCTTGGCCAATACTGCTGATATCGATAGTAACAAATGGAATGAAACATTTAACCAAACGGAACATTTTTGTGAGGAAAAACTGATAAATAGCTATTTAAATATAGCCATTTCTTCTCATAAAAAAGGTTCAGAGAAATTGCTCTGATGCCATTTTTGTGAATTATGGGTTCTTCAGTGCCAAATAGTTTCAACCAATGGCCAAGATAGCCTATCTATTACCAAATTACCTCAATAACAAAAACAGTGTTGGACCTAGCTGAACATTACAATCCTTTGACGCATGTCATGATGAAAAAATGTTGCATAAAATATCAGTTTGTAATAGGAGACCTATCCTCCTCAAGTAAAGGACTGACTATACAGTATCTCTCTACTAAGTGTAGGCAGGGAAGGTTATTTTATTAACTAGATAAAACCAATCACAACCAGGCTATTAATCAAGCTGACAAACTTTGCACTTGGTTAGCAACTACGCAACTGAATGGATAAATAATAACACTGATATATTTTAGACATTCCATTTCATTGTATCAGTGGCTCTGTTCCAAAACCTATTGAGCTGCCTTGATGTTTACTTCCTACATTTCAAGGCAACATCATAACGGTCATAAAACCCAATACTTGACTTGACATAACAAGCAACCCAACATATCACTCATTTAGTGATTTGTGCAGAAGACTGGACTCATGATTGAATCCAATGGTGCGTGGTGTTAGCATCCTTTTTTGATTGATTTAACATTTTTGAGGTCTGACTGAAATATAATATTAAAATTTGAAATATACAATTGACATTTCTCTTGCATTGTTAGACATCTTAAATGTAGTTTTTCACAGAGCTCAGCGCAATGCATTTTGGGATCCTCCATGAAGGATATGTGAGATGTTGGCCTTGAAAAAATATCTCTTAGAAGGCATCAAAATTACAATACCCACAGCAGGTCATATCTGTATTTTATAAAGGTGTCACCTGAAGTACAGCGTAATTGCTCAGCACAGAGCAGTGCAGCGTAGAGGTGGATGCATCACTATGGGCCAGCTGACAGCCATCCAGACTCCAACTCCCATGATGCTCCAGCGCCTGCAAGCTCCAGTGGGCAGCAACAGGGTCATTTCCAGGTGATGTGTGTCGTAGTGACACAATAATGGGATCGGACTGATTCCACATGCTACAACCATCTGAAAAAGAAAGAGAGAGAGAGAAAGCAGGAAAGTTTACATCTGTGCTCTGGTAAAAGTTCTTTAGATTTACTGTTCTGATTTGAATATTTTATGAGTCCAAGGATGAATCCTGTTGGTCTTCTCCCAAAATGCCTGTACTACATCAGTATATAACCAGCTACTGAGACCATTGTAAAAATTTGATGAATGTTTTTAATCCCTTGAATGTTCGAGCTGAAGGCAACCCACCAAGGTCAACGTAGATAACTGGAGTGTTGACGCCACGTCTGCGGGCAAGGTCCGAATGTCCAGTGAAATTGCTGGTAAATGGGAAGAATCTTCCATTGCGGAATGCCACAAACTGCAGCTTACAGTCAGGAGGAGCGTTCGGCGGAAAAAGAGACGCAGGGAGAGACACTGAAGCAAGAGCCACTGCATTCTAGAGAGAGAAACACAAGAAAAAATAAGGGCCAAACAAAAGCGGTACATTTCAGTGATTTTACCATGGCTAAATGGCTTGTTTTTACATGTATAAAACAGCAGTAGTAGCAATATGATACCAATGATTATGACAATAAACAAATTTTAGGCAACACAAAAACACATTTTTCCCCCCGTAACACAAAAAGCTTCCCTTTGTGAAAAAGAAGCACACTTTAGCGTATTTTTAAAAGGAGTACTTATTATGGATACAATATACTTATACTTGAGTGCGAAATGAATGTAATGATTTCAGGCCCTAAACTGACCTAGTAAAAAAGTAATATATTTAAAATACATTTATTTCATCAAATAAATGCTTGGGACTTACTGATATAAAATTATTGCATGGGACTTACCGATATAAAAATTATTGCTTGGGACTTACTGATATAAAAATGATAATTAAACTTTATTTGGAGTACTACTTGTGCACAATGTACTTAATATTAAGCCAAAAATGTGTTTTAATGTCAGTACTGATGAGGATTGTATGATCTTTAGATAATATCAGTCTTTAAATGCAAGATATTTAAAATGTACCTGAAGTATACTTGCAATAGTTCCACTTTAGCACATTTAAATGTACTTCAGTATATCTTTAGTTGGACTTCAGCACAACTTCCAAACAATTAAAGTGCATTAAGTACAAAATTAGTTGTTCCAATTTAGCAGACTTGAAGTATACCAGTTTAGTATACTAACAGTACAATTGCAGGGTATTTTGATTAAGTACATAAACATGGAAATGTATTTGTAGTATACTTAGCACAAAATAAATCTATTTCAAATACATTTTGGTATATTTACTTTTCACTAGGGTGCATGCTAATTGCAATTAGATAAAAATGATTTTTAATTGAAATTTATATGAACTGCAATGAGTTGAACCCTCCCCCACACACACATATATATATATATATATGTGTGTTTATATATATATATAAATATAAAAATATAAATGTACACTTGCACGTAAAACATGACATGACAACCTTGAGATGAAAAGCGTTCAGCGAGGTGTTGTGTGTTCCTGTGGTGCAGCGAAATCGCAGTTGCTGCTCAGGGGACGATTCAATCCCATCATGCCCCTGGCTCCCTCCTGTCCCCTCTCGTCTCTGATAGACCGTGCAGCTCATGCCAGTAAAATGAGCAGGACGAATCAGGTGAGCCTCCATCACAATGTTACGAGAACTCTAAGAAAGAGAGGAAATATGCTGATTTGGTGCTCAGATATCATTTCTCATTATTATTAATGTTGAAGATAGTTGTGCGGCTTCATATTTTTGTGAAAAGCATGATACATATTTTATCAGGATTCTTTGATGAATAGAACGTTCAGAAGAACAGCATTTATTTAAAATAGCTATCTTTTTTAACAATGTAAATGTCATTACTGACACTTTTGATCAACTTAATGCATCCTAGCTGAATAAAAGTATAATATATATGTGCAATAATGTGATTAAAAGCATACTTTGGAGAAGTCCTGTGCGTGAGAGTGCAGCTGAGGCCAGGCGAGAGTCTCCAGTGCGTAGACGACTGAACTGCAAGCTCTTTCCTCTCTCTGGGCTCGAGCCAGAATCTGATCATCTACCTGCATCAGGTTACTGCCCATTTCCACCAGCAACTCGGACAGCTGGGATGAAGGAGTGCACGTTTATGTAAGGACACAAATGCACTGCAATATATACACTGCTGAATACAGTGTTCTACAGACCTCACGCAGTTCTGTCACATAGTCCATGAATTTGTGCATCATCTGAGCAACATAAAGAACATCCACCGTGTCTGTGAAACCGGCGGCCTCCAGAGTGTATGATCGCACCTGGTGTGCCAGAGTCACTGCGTTGGAGGCGTTGATGGGCATCTGAGTGAGAAAGACAGAATTAACAATGAATATAAAATTCAACAAAAACATTAGAATGACTTCTGAATGATCATGTGACACTGAAGACAGGAGTAATGAAGCTGAAAATTTAGCTTTGCATCACAGGAATTACATTTTCAAATATATTAAAATAGAGAACAGTTCTTTTAAATTGTAAAAATGTGTGCTTAATAGTATTAAATGTGCACATGTTGTGTACTTCAAATCTTATAAGTACTTTTAAAAAACTGTATTTGCAGATACCATAATAATACCATAAGTTTCCTAACATTCCTAACATTTGTAATGTCAAATTTAAAAAGTATGTGCATTTTAAATAATTTTTAATAATTGTTTGTTACTAAAGGACATGTAAAGTACTTTATTAATATTTTAAGTGTAGTGTGTGATTTGATTTAAAAACAATATATTATGAATGTGCTAAATTGCAATTTCATTTTTTAAATGTATTTTTAAAAATGCATTTAAATACATAACACAAGTTTCAATAGAAATGACACAAAAGTATTTTTTAAGCATTTTAGTTGACATAAATGCTTGTCAGTACATTCGGCAGTACTCTTTAACCATATTTCAAAAATGCACATGCAGTCAGCATTCACATTACACTTAAGTGCATTCTTGTAAAGTATATTATTTCAGTAATAAATACTCTTTTAAAAAGAATGCTAAAGTGTACTTCTTTTTCACAAGGGGGAGCTTTAAATGCCTTTCATATTAGTAATTTGCATCACACTTGAAGAAGAAAAAAACTGTTTTAAAAAACAAGACTCTAGCTAGAATGTCACTAACCAGTATGAAGGTATGCAGGACCCGTGTGATGTCATTAGTATAGAGGCACTGAGAGTAGTCTCCCTCCTCCCAGCGTCCAGAGCGGTCACAGTTACGTGAAGCCTTCTTCTGCTCCACGCCGCCCCCTATAGTTAAGGAGGGGTAGCGCAGCTGCAGACAGTGCTGGTAGGAGGTGATGCCAGCCAGAGTTCTAGGCCACCTGAGGCCAAAGAGGTTAAAGAGATGACATAATGCCAGACTTTTCTAGATAAGCATTATTAAGCCGCAGGTAAAGCTGTAGGACAAGTCACTTACCTGAACTCCCCTCGGTTGTTAGTCACTCTCTGCTCCGGACAGAAGGAGGCGCTGTTCTCCAGTACCACTATCTCCACACTGCGCGAGGCGTTCCCACGGCTTGTGGACACCACACACTCCCACTCACCACTCGCCTCGATGTGGACGTTTGACAGGATCAGCTCGCTAAAAATGAACAGAACGCTATACCGGTAATAAAACGTACTGTAGAAGAGTGATTTTTCTGACTCAATAATGTTAACCTGGTCTTTCTATCCTTTTCAGGTCAGTGCCATGGCTCATTTTTATTATTTTCCCCCATTTTAATCCAATTTCTTTTGTTCACTTTATATCCCTTTTAAATCTCTTAATCCATCTGTTTTATTTAGTCTCATCTCTTCTTTTCACGTCTTGTCGCTTCACTATAATATTGGACTTTTCTCTTCCCTTGCGCATACACTTTTTGAACAAAAATATTAAGCAGCACAACTGTTTTCAGCATTGATGATAAGAAATGTTTCTTGAGCAGCAAATCATCATATTAGAATGATTTCTGAATGATCATGTGACACTGAAGACTGGAGTAATGATGCTGAAAATACAGCTTTGCATTATAGGAAAAAAAATACATTAAAAAAAAAAGAAAACAGTTATTTTAAATCACAATAATATTTTACAATATTACTGTATTTTTTATCAAATAAATGCCTTGGTGAAAAAGAGACGTCTTTCAAAAAACATAAAATAATCGTAATTATTCAAGACCAGCAGTGTACAATATAGGGGTGTCCCCGACTAAGGATTTTCATAGTCGAATCATATGTTTTGGGGGCGGGGCAAAATACATTACCAAGAGTCAAGTCAGACATTCGACAGTCATAATTACGTTAACACACAAGGAAAATGTGTAACGGACGCCTCGCAGATACAAACGGGGTAAATAATGTTTTATGTTTTGATTAAAAGATAGTTAACATTAAACGTCAGCGAAACCCTAAGAATTCACAAAAT